CACCTCCATGAGAAAGCTTGTTTACCAGCGCACTCTTCATTTACACACTGATCGGAAAACCTTCCGTTGTTATCGCAAAGGTTCCCGGATGAGTAGAATCCACTTCACCAGGAATCACAAAAGTACGTACCTGTATGCTTTGTCTTCCGCCTTCTCGCGAGTCCTCTGTTCCACGATGCGACGCATTTCGTCCGATTCAAATTTGGCTTTAGCCGAAACTATATCTTTCCCTTGTTTCCGTCGCATTTTCTCGCGTTCTAATTCGTTTCGACTTTCCTGTTCTTCACGCATTTGTCGCCGCTGTTTTATCAATTGCTATATAAGGATAGACGACACACGATCAATGTGAGAAATCAGGCATATAACACGGATGGAACAAAATTAAGCATAATCAGCGACTGGAAACAGATTCCTTAAAGAGGGTAAAACGTTCATATGGAATGATGTTTATAGCCTCGGGGATGAAAGTCGGTCTTGGTGTTGCCGAACCTCAGTCGAAGCTTCGAAGTTGTTCTAGCATGATGACCAAGCGTCCACCCGCCAATCAAGATGCATGAAGTAAACACGATCAACAAAATAAAGCCACACCTTGCGAGAATCGACCGTAAGGTGAACAATACATCAATGGATTGGTGTATTGAATGAAAGCGGAACATAGCACAGTTATTCGATTTTTATGGTGGAGGGAGGGAGGGGGTGGCTTAAGTCGCTGTCCGTTCTGTGTGACAATGAGAACAACTGGAAACGGTTCTGCACTCCTGGATCAAAAGTTTTGCCGACAAAAAATAAAATAAAATAAGCCCTTCGAGTGGGAATACAAGGCGAGAAAACCCGATCAGAGGCAAACCCTATGCAAATCAGTAAGTAGGATTTACTCGTTTTCAACTTCTACTCTAGTTTCCGCACGCATTAACTGTCATACCGAAATTTCGCGGGAATCTTCTGACGAATGGTATCTATTTGTTCATCAAATAATAATGGTGAAAAGTACAGATAACAGCAAGAGGTCGGAATCCGCAAATCAACTCATACAAGTGATTATCTGATCCATATGCAATAGAACCAAGTTTAAAAATTACACCACAGAAACAAATTGCTGACAATCACCCGGTTCAGTACAACATTCACTACTCGTCGAGGCGCCCTGTCTCTCTCGGTGTGAATTTCTATTATCCCCGAAAGAATAATAACCAACTTGCAATAGAAGTCCAATTTGAGAATCTTTTCTCGCAGACACAGAAATTGATACCAAATTCAGCAAATGAACTGGACCGATTCAAGTCCACCTTGATAAACTGTTGCTACCAATTTCGCAAACACAGTTCACGTAATCGCGGACCACTAACTCGAAAGCACTTAGAAGAACTGATAGCAATTAAAAGACGAAATGACATCGTACTAAGCAAACCGGATAAGGGAGCCGGAATTGTAAATAAATCCGATTACATTTACAAGTTATCAGAGTTGTTGTGCGATGAGACTTCCCAATGAGCTTGACAAAACCGCCCATACTGAGAGATAAATCACAGATAGCCTCCGTTTTCTAAAGGATCAAGGTCAACTAGATTCATTTACTTTAGAAGCGATTAAACCCCGTGGATCCACGATCCCACGTCTATACGGGTTAACAAAAAGGTTCATAAGAAGGGTTTACCTTTACGACCGATTCTATCAATGATCAACTCCCCATATCACGGCACCGCGAAATGGCTTGCTAAAATTCTAGAGCCAATTCGACGGCAAATAGCCAAACACAATCTACGTGACACTTTCGAATTCGTGAACATGATCAAAGAACAAAAGATTAACGAAGATCAGACGTTTTCTCTAGATGTGGTTTCATTATACACGAACCTTCCGCTCATGGAAACGGTTGATTTCATCTGTAACTGCATGGAAGAAAAGGAAATCGATATAAGCGTACCGGTAGAAAAACTGAAAGAACTGCTCCTGAAATGCACTTTCAATGTTCAGTTTTTATTCAATAGAAAACTGTAGCATCAAAAGGATGGTGTCGCTATGGGCTCTCTACTAGGACCGATATTAGCAGATGTGTTCATGGCCGAACTGGAGAACTCAGTCCTAGAATCCGAAATTGGAAAGATGAAATTCTATGAACGATATGTTGATGATATATTTTGCATAACTAACAAAGAAAGCGACCTAACCCTCCTCACGCAAACGTTTAACAAGGCTCACAAGTTCATAAGGTTCACCCTGGAGGCAGAGAAAAATTAAAAAAAACTAGCATTCCTTGACGTAGCTCTGCACAGGACAACTGATGGACTACTTGAAAGAAGGATATACAGAAAAGAAACGTGAACCGGACAGTACACCAACTTTCACAGTTTCGTGCCGCTTATACAAAAGAGAAACCTCATTCAGTGTAGTGGCTCGCGTGCACGAAAAATATGCTCCGAATCCACGTTCGCAGACGAACTTGATCAGATTAAAAACATTCTAAGGGAAAACGGATACCCAGAAAGGTTCATCGAGAANAAAAACTGAGTAGAAAAAATGAAACACGAGCCTGTTCAGGAAGCTCCGAAGAAGTAACTGTTTAATCGAACTGCCATTCAAAGTAGACGACCTGTCTGATCAGATAAGGAGACATTTAGCGCGTGCTGTGAGAGTAACCTTCAATGCCGCCCGGTTGTCATGCGTATTCACTGGCTCACCAATAATAAGAACACCCAATAAAGACAGTCTACCTACGCTGGCCTCATCTATGATTATATATTCCTTCAGCTGCGTTTGTAACGTAACCTACATTGACCGAACGGCGAGGCAGCTGTCTCAGCGGATTAATGAGCACTGCCCACGCTGGCTTCAACACGATGGAAAAGGTGTCACAGAAAGCGCTATCCTCGCTCACTTAGCAGACTCAGGTCACCAAGTGAAGCCTGAATCAACCTTCAAAATCATCTATCGAGTACCAGCTCACCAATCCAAGTCGCTGCGTCTCCACACCCTAGCCGCTACGGAAGCGATTGGCATTCGTTTATTCCAACCCAATCTATGCGCACAGAAGGGATTGGCCCATGTTATTCAATTACCGTGACCGAAAATCGATCGCACAAATGACGCAACACAGTTTGATTGCAGTGTTGTGGTGATTTAGGGGCGTGAAACACGTCGCACCCCCACCCCCACCCATATCCCATTCCTCTCCCTTCCAAATCAATCACCGTAACTTTTGAATGACTAAATGACTATCCCCGTTCAACGCGTCATTTTGCTTACTTGATTTGTACAGGCTAGGGGATGAATCAATGAAGAGAATTATTCGCCTCTAAATGCGTGTTCACACTGTTTATTTATTTTGCGTGCCGGTACGAGATCAGCCATTCAGAATATCGGTCTGCATAAAGAAACAGGAATTCCTACGTTCACCACAAAATGATGTCTTCTTTTTTGCTTGCAAAGCATTCACCCCTGAAGAGGATTTAGAAATTCGAAGCAAACTAAACGACGCTGTTAGTTAGCCCTTGTCCCGTTCCCTCTCCCTGAATGCTCCTAAATGTCCGGATGTTGTGTTTTCCCTATTGACCGACGTACCCTATTCAGCTCTCACAGATAGGTCCCCCACCCTATCTGCCAATCATGAACCCGTACAGAAATCAATAATGGTGAAATACCCTGGCTTCACATTATCACACAAGTTATCATGCTCACTGCATGTTCAAAACACATTCTGTAAAGTAAGAAAACTTTCATATTTCTCACTCCCATTGAGAATACTTTTTATTCCCCACAAGCTGATTGTTGGGTTTGTGAATGCATGCGCTCTACCCCACTGGTTATATTGCTCCCCAGTGATTTTTCCCGGTATGTTGAAGAAAATTTTTTTATTTACTGACGAGATCTCTGAAACACATCTCTACATGTAGTGGCACTGTCAGGGATAAACTCGCGGATTCTATCATAGGCAGACACCTACAAGCATAAGAACATTTCACTGTCAAAATACTCTCAGACACTCAACACCCATTAGGCAAAGAATTTTCAAAAGCGGTATCTACAGCGTCCACACGCTCAAGATGTAAATTTTTATTTACACGTACCTCCGCTTATAGTAATTCTTGCACGTCTATATATTGACAAGAAAAAATTTTCCCCAGAATCGCTTCATTGGCAACCACAATATGTACTGCATTCAGCTTGATTATGAATGATTTTGTAAATTTGAATCCATAAATATGGTGTAAATAATGAAAAGCCACCCATCCGGGTGCATAACGCGACCTACTATTGACTCGGCCAAACTTCTAGACAATAAAAGCTCCCTTATGATACTCAAATGACAGTGAACCATAAATGATCTGACGCGAACCGCGTGCGATTGCTTGCGAACGAATCAGCTGATTTATTACCAATGTGGTATGTGAATGCATCGATCAAATACTCACTCTCTGACGGTTGCTAAAACACCTATCAAAGAACAACGAGTCTTGTGTCCTTAGACATCCACGTGGCATTCGACTCTGACGATAGGACCGCACGATGGAACTATTTGTTGAGGAATGGAATACCACGGACGTATTTGTCGATCCTTATAGAGTTGTATCGTCATACCTCAAGTCGGGTTAGGGTCTATGGCCAGCTTTCTGCACCCTTCACCGTCTCCAGTGGAGTTCGACAAGTTTGCCCTATATCCCCATTTCTTTTCAACTTTGTCATAGAGGATGTTAGACAGAATGCTTTGTCCGGTCTAGCAAACGGAGTTGAAATTCCTCCCAGGGAACAGAGTCCTTGACCTAGAATTTGCCGATGACATCGCCTTGTTGGGTGACAAAGCACAGGCAGTCCAAAACGCTTGGAACCGTTTGGCGATAGAAATCGAGGTATGGTATGTGCTTTGGACCATCAAAGTGCAAAGCGCTTGTTCAAGACTGGCAGGAGCCTGAGCCTGCAATCACCCTCTGTGGTGATCAGCTGGAAGTAGTTGAGAGCTCATATCACGAATAACGAAAGCTAGAGCAGCTTTTGCCAATCTGCGACACCTGTGTTACCACCATGACATCCAAATGTCCCCTAAGGTTCGTAGCGTTCTACTTTACGGTTGCGAGACCTGGCTTCTCCGAGTGGAAGATGTTAACTGACTTTCTGTATTCGACCGCTGATGTCTCTGAAACATTGTCCACATCCGGTGGGAAGATTGGGTGAGCAATGACGAGGTCTGTCGTTTGGTGCAGATGGTCATTCTATAATGGAATTAATCTCTCTACACCGCCTTCGATGGCTTGGTTGTGTTTTCGCAGGCCTGCCCACCATCCACTTCTCAGTGCTTTGTTTGCATATGCTGTGCAAGGTTAGAAGAAACGTCGCGGCGATCAAAATATACCATGGAATGCTGTACAGTCTGTCTGTTTAAACCCGTGCTCCGTAAAAATGAAAAACTGACTCGT